ATATTTTTATTTAATAATTCACTTTGTATTAAATATTTTTTATTTTTTTTACTTCTAGGGGCTTCGGGGAAATATTAGGGGTCTAAACAGACCTCTGATATTTCCATTTTAAAATAGAAAAATAGATTGAGGACACAAAGTGGTCAGAGACACAAAGTCCTCAATCTCTTTTTCTGCAGCTCCTGCAGCTTGCATTAATGAACAGGAATCCTCCGAGTGGTCCTGTTCATTGATAACATGAGGACATTGTGTGTTTACTATAAACACAATTATGAATGAACAGAAGGTGATGTAGATCCCTTCCCATTCATTCATAATTGAGGATATAGTCAACATACTCTGTCCTCAATTTATCGACAAACACTCAAGCCAGATGGTGGAGACAGGGTTAACCCCTCAGGAATGAATGTTGTTGCACATGAATGAAAAAACAACGTTGTTTATTTTTAGAGTGTTTCTTTGGAGTTGGTGCAATATTTTCTATGCATAGTTTACATATTATCAATTAAAGTATTTTTTATATTTTTCTCTATCCATGGTCTGAAGTAACTTCTTTGGTCAGCGCACACAGGGTAGTGCTTGCGACCGCTTTTTGTTTTGTTACACTTTCTTTCCTCCCCGCTGGAACACAGAGCAGCGCCCAGCGGGGAGGAAAGAAAGCAGGGATGTGCCGCTGTATCAGCACAAAAATGGCACTTTCGGCATTTAGCCAAAAGTGCCATTTTCGGCCGATATGTTTCAGTGGCCGATATATCGGTGCATCCCTATTTCTAATACTTCACTCTGTTAAACACCAATTCTGACTGAAGGTGGGCTTATAAATAGCAACTTCCATTCCCCCTGATGCCCACCAGCAGGGCAGGAAGTAATGGGACATATCCCCAACAGAGACCACAACAAAAACTGAATATAGGTTCTAATACTTCACTCTCTTAACCACCAACTCCGACTAAAGGTGGGCTTATGAATAAACCTGTCGTGGTAGAAATATGGGAACTGCTATTGCTGATTTTTTTAAATGTGCCGTTGGCTCACAAAGTAGTGAAACCAAAGGATGAACATAAAGGCACTGTAGGTAGTATTCTGACAGTATTTCACCTTAAAGGAGAACTATGGGGTTAGGGCTTTTCCCCATAGTTCTCCTTAGGGTAACGGTAGCGTCCTCCCGTCACCCTAAGCTCAGTATACCCCTAGCTACAGCTCGCGGTATACTGAGACGCCGCAGCTGAAGCGGATCCCGACAATTATGTCTGGATCCGCCCAGCTGCGTGAGTGACAGCTGGCTCTGCCTATCTAAAGGCAGAGCCAGCTGTACCCGCCCCTCCTGCCTCCGTTCAGCCAGTCAGCGCTGGAGGAGGGGGGAATCCAGCCCCTCCCCTGTCACGGCAGAGAGTCGTGACAGGATCGAGAGGTGAGCGAACGCCGGTATGTGTTTGCTCACTTCCCGGTCTACTGAGCTGACCTGTGACAGTCTCATTGTCACAGGTCGGCTAGAACTATGAGGCGAGTGAAAAGCACCCACCTCATAGTTCTCCTTTAAGTATACTAAGCAAAATACTGACACTCATGGGCAGAATCTCCACTTGGAAGTGTGTGTATAGCCTAAACCTGTTTAGCAGTAACTATGGTGCTGGTTTACAGTGCAAAACATTCTAAAATTGTTTCACAATTTCATTGGTTAACTTGTACTCTTAATGTTTATTTTCCCCTTTATTCAGCTCCTATCATGCAGAATTCAGTTTCCCAATATACAAGAAAAAATCGGAGGACAATGATTTCCATACTATAGATGGACTGGCGTTTCTGAATGATGATCTGATCGGTGGGTTTGTAGCAGATTTTTAGTAGATAGTATCACTGTGCTTGGCTGCATTTGTGATCATGATTGAGCTTTAATTGGTTACATAGAGAGCATAGCTTGCTTTGTTAGAGAAGCGAAGCACGGTAGAACCTTCTTAGAACAGAATGTATTCATATGTCTCATAATATCACATATCCCAAAAATAACTGGATTATCCCTCATTTCAGGGTAGTGGGTGGAGATATGCAAATCAGTTCTTTTCACCACATGAATAATTCTGCATCCAGTATAGCACAGGTACAGCTCTATATTATCGAGACATTTATTCCTAAACGCATACAGGTGTTTTAGGCTTGTTGGCCATCATCAGTGTATGGAAACCATGCCTTTTGATGGAGTAAGGCTTGGGGACCAACCAGAAAGTATAATACTGAAGATTATAGTTCTGCTTTCTCTTAGGTCCCACCGACTATCCTAAAATGAGGACTATCCCTTTATTTTTGGACTTTGCAATGGAATTTCAATGCTGTCTGTTCTAAGAAGGCTCAATTGTGCTATGCACTGGGTTAATGAAGGGCTTTTTGCTTCTTTTAGCGCTGTGTCACCATAACCTTCTGGTTTCTACTTTCTCTTTAAGAAAAGCACTGGGTTATAGTTGTTGGAAATACAACAGCATATACTGATTTGTATTACTTACTGTCATTTGTCTTTTGAGCTGTAGATGGCGCTGTGCTGCAATGCTATGTACATGCTTATCGGTGATACACAGGAAGTTTTTCTTTCTCTGTTTTCTTAACAATGCCATATTCATACATGCAATGTTCTTCTAAGCAAGTAAAACTTGATTTAGCATTCCTCAAGATCCCAGTGCTTCAACTAAACACATAACCAACAATAGTAAGAGTCTTGCAGTCTTTATATAGCCCTCTTTGTGACTCTCTGCAATCAGTGAGTATCCCAGAATCTCGGGTGCTACTAAAAAGCTCTTCTGCTTCCTTTATGCTAATATACTGAACAGAGAATACTTCTATCAATGTCATGGAGGGTGGACAAAGTGGGTTGAAGTGTATAGAAAAGTAATTGAATTAACCATTACTTTTTAACCTCCATCAAAACCTAAATGAATTGTCTGTGGCCCCATTCACATGGGGCTGTGGCTGGGGATTATTGCCACAAGAACCTACGGATTCTTGTCGCAGGATCCCAGGAGTGTCCGTACAGCGGCTGCATCTGTCAGCGGTAGTCTGCATGGAATCATACATTGTACAATTACCTCTGGTCTGGGATAGATGATTGTCCCTGGATGCAGACAGATCGCATCCGGGCACAATCTATTCTGAACAGCAGACTCTTTCTGTGAGCGATTTCATGCAAACTGACAGTTGTAAAGGCTGCCTGTCTGTCATTAAATTTAAAGGGCTCAGCGACCACATCTGTATCAACACCCCTGGGATTCCTGCGGCACAAATCCCCAGACACCCTGTGTGACTAGCCCAAAAGTAGGTTTGTTCTTTAACGTTTCAGTCTACTCAAAAGTTATGTTCAACCGTAGCGGAGTCCTGTTGGAATGAAGTACCCCCTGGCTCTACAGATAATTTGCCATACTTTTAAGTGCTGGGTGATTACACACCTTCTGTTGCATTCTCTATAATACAAAAAAACCCTGAAAAATTCAGCAAGGAGAGTAGTCATCCTTCTAATGACCAGAGCCTGAAGACTCCAGCAGAGATCGCTGGGTTGTCCTAGTGATTTCAGAAAGTGTTCGATAGTTTAACTCTGCAGCACCCCTGAAATTTAAAATCATTTTGGTAGACTAATCTTTTTAATCTTTTTTTAGTTATGATTGTACTGAAATATAAATATTTTAATTTATTCACAGCTTCTAAGAGTTCCATGCAAGGATCCATATACATTTGGAGTTGGAAGAAGTCTTTTCTGAAATCACGCTCTAAGAGCACCAAGAAAATGGAGGCAGCTGTACTAGCGGAGCTTAAGTGGTCACAGACTGACATACCATACCTATCACTTACAACCTCTGCAGGTACTGTCCTGTGTGGCTTTACAACATCAGTTTGCTGTGTTTCTCTCTCTATACTGGCGAACACAGACATTTACATTTTATGCCTTCTTCATTCCTTTTAAAAGGCCAATATGCTTAAAATACCATTGCCTTGTGTGTATAAACTATTGATGAGTATGTTGTGATCCTGTAGTGATGTAGAAACCAGCAGGAGGAACCATAGCACACGGTATAGTAACAGATGCACTCGGAAGTTACGAACATTAAGTCCCCACCCCACTTCTCGAGTGCTTCCAACAATGTCAAATACTTTCAGCCCCGATCCAGCAATCTTCACTGTGGGGCCCACTCAGGCCCACACAGTCTGCCCTGTGAAAATGACTTCTGCTGCTCCATTGGGGGTGGGGGCAACTTATTCAAGAAAAACTACAAAAGCACAGTTGTACTTTAGGGTTTTTGTTCAAGCAGAGTTCAGTTGGAATGTAGATAGATACACACATATATAGATACATACATAGTTAGATATAGATACTGTATATACAGTAATTTACTGTTTTATTTGACACAGAATTTGAAACTCTGCTCAGCTAGTTTTGTGACTCGTGCCTATCTGATATACTGCACAGCCATAAAGGTGAAGCCTCAGTTTCCTATATAGGCAGGGCTTGAAAAATCCACTCGTCCGCTCGTCTGTGACGAGAGGACGGTGGAGCACGACGAGCAGCTTCCCGGCCGGCTGTTGTAATTACACGGCCGGCCGGGAGCTTAACATTTAAGCGATCGGGCGTCTCTAGAGACGCTCGATCACTTGTATTGGCAGCTGTCACTGCCGATCCCGAGATCCGCTATGCCCGATGCGGCCGTGACCGGCACGGCTCTGTGACAGGAGATCAAAGGGAGTTCAGTATACGAACTCCCTTTGATCACCTCTCAGTCCCCAAATGCAGGAAGGGATGTATATTATATCCCTTCCTGCATTCAGTGTCACTCTCCCAGCTACAGAAGCTGATGAAGCAGATCTCTGCTTCATCAGCTTCTCTGGGGGTCTCTAGGTGACATTAGGGGTCTTGGAGACCCCTGATGTCTCCATAAAGAGGACCTGTCATGTAAATTGGCTATTACATAGGTGGCTTCTTAGCCCCCTATGTAATGGCAATAAAGTTGTGTGTACGGTAAAAAAAAAAGTAATACAAAAATTAAAGGAGAACTATGGGGTTAGGGAATTTCACCATAGGTCTCCTAAGGGTAACGGGAGGACACAAACTGGCGTCCTCCCGTCACCCAAAGCTCAGTATCTTGCGGTATGCTGAAACGGATCCCAACAATTATGTCTGGATCCACCCAGCTGCGTGGGTGACAGCGGGCTCTGCCTATCTAGAGGCACCCTCCCCCGTCCGTTCCTTGAGTCAGCGATGGAGGATCGGAGCGGGGAAGGGGGAATCCTGTCCCTCCCCTGTCATGACCCTCTGCAGTGACAGGATCGAGAAGTAAGCGAGCGCCGGTATGTGTTCTCTCACTTCCCGATCTACTGAGCTGACCTGTGACAGTTTCATTGTTTTCACCCCCGTGGTGATTATATACCTCCAAAAGAAAGCTCTATCTGTCCCCAAAAAAAGTTCACATAAATTGCAAGGCTATAGTCCGGTCATGCTGACTGGTGAAAGTTTTGACTGACTGGTGAGACACCATCAAATTTTTCAAGCCCTGTATATAGGCTTTACAGTTTCCCATACAAGCTGTCTGCTCATTACACAATCAATAAGGAGTGTGGCAGTGCTATGCAATGATTAGCCAGTGAGCAGGAACATAATAGAAAGAAATTGATTTATTTTAATTAATGGGTCCATTACATTTTATTTGTCTTTTTGGGTTTTCTTTTTAAAGTAGATATAAAGTACTTTATATATGTCGCTGCACTTACATGGAATCTATTGAGTTTTTTTATTGCCTGATATCTACTATATTGTAGTGGTGATTGAGTTGCGTTTGAATGAGAATGATAAAATCCTGTGAAAATGTGACTGTAGCGTTCTTCTTATACATAAATAGTGTCACATTTTTTATAAAATATAGGTAAGACCATGAACTTGATTGAACTGAGCCCAAGGCATGGCACTGCCATCGGTTTAGAAGTGGATTATGTTTTTCCTTAATATGCTGACGGTTCTTATGTGCAGCCTGATCGTCCCAGTTGTCAGTCATGTCTTCCCTACATATTTCCTTGCTGCTCAGGAAGGTATTACTTCAGCTTCCCAACCTTCCAGAATGCAAGGACATTTGTTATGGCAACCATGACTGGAACTTCAAGTAGCCCTGGCACATCATTACTTCTATTAGGTAAAAAGACCAAATCTTGTGGGTGCACTGTAGAAAACAATTATATTGCTTTTCTTCTTACATATGGCATTTGTTTTCACAGATGGACTTTACCTTTTCTGTGGTGATGAGGCTGGGAAAGTGTGGATTTATGATCTTGAATCCTGTCGAGCTGAGTTACAGAAAGGAGTGTCATGCAGTGGTCTCAAAGAACCCACAAAGGTACAGTTTTATATTTACATTTAATTTGGGGTATGATGTGGTAAATCCATAGAACTAAGGCTGACGAGTTCTGCTGAGGGCCTTACTTAAGTTAAAAAAAAAAACTATGGCACATGGCTGTTAGCATGCACTACATTTTGTGTATTTATTTTGGGAAAGAAAGAGAAAGCATGGAGCCGGCTTTCTGGCAAATCAGGAAGCCGGGCACCGTGTAATGACTCGTTGCCTGGCTTCCTGATTGGTCGAGAAGCTGGCCATTCAGAAAGCCATGCAATGAGTCATTACACGGCACCCGGCTTCCTGATTGGCCTGGGAAGCTCTAGGGAGAATGAAGTCGTCTTTCTGGGCAATCAGAAAGCCGGGGGGCGGGTAATGACTCGCCATCCGGCTTCCTGATTGGCCAGCTTCCCGACCAATCAGGAAGCCGGGAAAAGAGTCATTACACGCTGCCCAGCTTCCTGATTGGCCGGGAAGCCGGCTCCATGCTTCCTCGTCAGCAAGTGACGAGGGAGTATGGGGCCAGCTTCCCAGCCAATCAGGAAGCCGGGCAGCGTGTAATGACTGCCCGGCTTCCTGATACCGGAAGCTCAGGTTTCGGGCTAGCCATCGGAGCATTTGGGCGAGTGCGAGTACTCGCCCAAATACTCGGCGTAGGCACCGATACTAGTATTGGTATAGGTACATCCCTAGTGAAAACATATATGGTTATAAATCCCTGGAGTTCTGCTTTAACACACTTTGTCTATGCATATGATTCTTTTACTTTTTCTAATAATGGTAACAAACCTTTCTGGCCCAGTCCTCATTTTATCCATAGATTGTTGTGCTAATGTTTTTTGCCTCTTTAAAACAGGTTATTGACTGGCCGGCTCCCATATCAAGAGAAGAGAAAATGGGAGAGACTGTTATCAACACTGTGCTGGTAAACCCAGCGAAGGAATATTTAGTTGCCTTAACAGACAAAAATATAATCGCTATCTGGAAAATCTTATAATGGGAAATCCTAGAACACTTTTCTAAGATATTCGCTTTTATATGTAAAAAAAAACATTTTATATTAACACAAATTGTATTTAGTTTGTAATATTTTACAATTTTTTACATTTTAATTATTTTCATTTATGTTTTAAAGCCACTGTTGGCATAAAGTATGTATGTTTGACAGTTGGCAAAGAAGAGTTTTGTATTGATATATTTTCTAGCTTAGTCCTTGTAAATATAGTTTGAAGGAAATGTCACACCTTCTGTAAAGCCAAAATATGTTTAAGTAGATGTAAATATTACTGAGCTTATTACATGGAAATGAAAAGGATTATTTTTCAGATTTGGTTTCTTCCGGATAGTGTCACTTTTTTTTTTTTCTTTCACAATGTTTTTTTTATTCATTTTAGGCAAAAAGGGTAGGGTACATACATATATTACAGCTTGTACAGTAAGGTCAGTGAGCTGAGGAAGCAGCCTTAGACATCCGAAAATGTAGGCTCGTAGACATAGTTAAAGTGTAACTTAAAACACAGATCATTAGAAAATCATGACATGTTTTCATGTAAAATAGAATAGGTTACCAACATTTAACAGTCAACCATTTTAGTGGGTTAATAATAAATGTTCACGTGTCTTATGAAGAATACTATGCATAACACGATGTTTCGTTTGTAGTCACCAAACTTCCTCAACATGTGAACGTTGAGATTCGTTACTTCACGTAACAGCACCTTAAGGCCTTGTTCCCACCAAATGCAGAGCAGATCCGGTCAGGTTTCTGCACACGCAGTGCAGTGGGTTGTGCCGCGTTTTTGATGCGTTCCGGGCCGATTTTGGTTAAAAAAAAAATTAATTTTTTTTAAGTTTAACATGGGCTTTCAGGCACTTGCATGCGTTTTTGCGTTTTGCATGCGTTCCAGAGCAGGTAAAATAGGGCTTGCCGCAATTTTTTCACCTGCTCTGGATCTGGTCTGGATCCGCACGCTGCTATGTGAACTGGAGCTCAAAATACCATAGGAATACATTGGACGCAGTTTTGATCCGGTCTGCACCTGCTCTGCTCTGGATCTGCTCCGCGCTTGGTATGAACAAGCCCTTAAGGGGACATGGGGGTAGAGAATCTATTGAACCATTTATAGTTACTCAAAAGAGTGGAAAGAAAGAATCAAGAAAAGGAAAGATGGAAGTAGCAAAGAAAAGATAGACAAAAGTGAGTAGAGACTTTGTTCAAAAAACGGAAGGAAGGCAGTTTAAGTAGAGGTTGGGAGAGGGGACATCCCATCAAGTGAACCTGGGGTCAATGGTGATACGGAAGTAGCGTCAAAATATCGAGGGCTGGAATATGTTATCCATGGTTCCCAGATGTGTAGGAATTTACCATGGATGCCTGTCGGGAGCGATGACGAGTAGTGTCACTTTTGATGCCCAAAGTCAGTCTATGGACTCGGGTTTGCCACCCACCCCTTTTTGGAGCACACTTTCACAATTTAGATATAATAATACTATATCAAGTGAATTAATAGCGGGATGGTCAGTTGCCATGATTCATTTAGTTGTTTGCTGGTTAAAATTGATACCAAATGGCCACACATTACAAATTAATTGCACACTCCTTTAGTGCCTGTTCACACGACGTCCGTTTTCTGTGCTGACCTGATCCGTTTGCTCCTGCACTAAAAATGCATCCCAATGTATCCCTATGTGTTTTATGGGCTCCAGTTCTCACGTGCGCAGTCCGTTCAGGTTACGACCGAAAAATACTGCATGTCACATTTTGTACGGTCAGGAAACGGTCCGGAAATGCTAAACGCACTGCACTGCAGCTAACATACTGACAGCCCCACTCCAGCAAAAAAAAAAAAATTTTTTTTAACTGGAACGCATTAAAAATGCGGCAAAAACGAATAGCACCACACCTGATCAGGACCTAAAACTCATGTGAACAGGCCCTTATAGCTGTCATTCGTGATCAGCCTGTGCTTGGTGCAAACCCAGCCCGCTCAAAACTGAATGACAATCAGTGACATCAGGCACATTCCCCACCCCGCAGGTATACTGTATGTCACAAAGGGGTGGGTAATGCCCCCAGCACAACAACTGCTGCTACTGATTGGGCCGGTACGGGGGCAGCGGTCACAGTTTTAAGGGGGTTTGGGCGAACTGGGTTCACATCAAGCATCAGCTCATCACTACTATCCATATGCATAACAATTCAATGGTTCAGTATAACAATAAGTTTGATCAAATAGACTTTTCTGTAGCAATCGATTTTGCATAATTGATCACTTTGGTCAATAAATGTACATGAAGGAACTATCGATCCTGGCAGAATACGTGATGGGATTTACTCCAAATCAATCTCTTCTCTGTGTCGAACAATTTATTTTATTTTAAATAATAGTCTGAGATGATTGAATCATTGATCAATATTTTTTTTTCTCTCATTACAAGTATTTGTTGAAAGATATGCTTTATAATTAGGAACTTTCCGAGTTCCTAATTAGTTTTTGCTTGCAAAGCGAGAATAGCATATTTTCCACATCTTATATAAAAAAAATATTTTTGCTAGCACGATTGTTTGATTGACATGAATACAGCGTCATCTTACAAAGCTCACTGAACAATCCGTTTGCAAGGTGAATAGTCTCAGTTCTCTTAGTAAATCAGCTCCACTGTTCTATGTGAGCTGACACTTTATTGTCTCCTCACTCAGACCTGCACAGCTCTATGTTCTAAGGAAGTATAGCCACAAAAACAACAATGGGAAATGTTTCCACATGTGCAGGACAGCTTGGGGCAGTTGGATTAAAAGATTACTGCTGATTAGTTACAGGTTTATGTATTGTACTTTAAACACTGTCTTCAGCTGTATGAAATAAGCCTAGAATGATAATGAAAGCTGAACGTTCTGATAAAACACACTGCAATATCACATTATATTTGACTTTGCATTGTTACTCCACCAGCTGCATACAAAACAGATTCAGAGCAAGGGCACTTTGGTCCTTTTGCAGAACTGCAAACTTTGTAATGCCCACAAGTGTCAACATAGAGCCCAATGAAGCAAAAGCTGCAACCCATAGCATCCTACCATCATCCATGGATCTTAAAGTGACATTAAACCCTCAGATTTTTTTAACATAAAACAATAGTGTAATGTGTGTCTTACTGTAATCCATGGTTGTTTCCCTTCTCTTTGCTGCTCTTCCTTTTAAATCCTCATATCTTCTCATCCTGGGGGAGAACTTCCCTTTGCAGCTGAGTGCCTCTTCCTGTAGTGCTGGCTCAAGTTGTGAACCTGCACACAGACCCCATGTATCCATTCCAGAGACAAGGCAGTCTGCTGCAAAACAGAAGTTCTGCCCAGCATGAGAAGAGATACGGATTTAAAAGGAAGAGCAGCAAAGAGAAGGGAAACAACCATGGATTACAGTAAGGCACACATTACACTATTGTTTTATTTAAAAAAATCTGAGGGTTTAATGTCACTTTAAGTCTGTTAACTGAGACTTTGTTCAAAAAACGGAAGGAAGGCAGTTTAAGTAGAGGTTGGGAGAGGGGACATCCCATCAAGTGAACCTGGGGTCAATGGTGATACGGAAGTAGCGTCAAAATATCGAGGGCTGGAATATGTTATCCATGGTTCCCAGATGTGTAGGAATTTACCATGGATGCCTGTCGGGAGCGATGACGAGTAGTGTCACTTTTGATGCCCAAAGTCAGTCTATGGACTCGGGTTTGCCACCCACCCCTTTTTGGAGCACACTTTCACAATTTAGATATAATAATACTATATCAAGTGAATTAATAGCGGGATGGTCAGTTGCCATGATTCATTTAGTTGTTTGCTGGTTAAAATTGATACCAAATGGCCACACATTACAAATTAATTGCACACTCCTTTAGTGCCTGTTCACACGACGTCCGTTTTCTGTGCTGACCTGATCCGTTTGCTCCTGCACTAAAAATGCATCCCAATGTATCCCTATGTGTTTTATGGGCTCCAGTTCTCACGTGCGCAGTCCGTTCAGGTTACGACCGAAAAATACTGCATGTCACATTTTGTACGGTCAGGAAACGGTCCGGAAATGCTAAACGCACTGCACTGCAGCTAACATACTGACAGCCCCACTCCAGCAAAAAAAAAAAAATTTTTTTTAACTGGAACGCATTAAAAATGCGGCAAAAACGAATAGCACCACACCTGATCAGGACCTAAAACTCATGTGAACAGGCCCTTATAGCTGTCATTCGTGATCAGCCTGTGCTTGGTGCAAACCCAGCCCGCTCAAAACTGAATGACAATCAGTGACATCAGGCACATTCCCCACCCCGCAGGTATACTGTATGTCACAAAGGGGTGGGTAATGCCCCCAGCACAACAACTGCTGCTACTGATTGGGCCGGTACGGGGGCAGCGGTCACAGTTTTAAGGGGGTTTGGGCGAACTGGGTTCACATCAAGCATCAGCTCATCACTACTATCCATATGCATAACAATTCAATGGTTCAGTATAACAATAAGTTTGATCAAATAGACTTTTCTGTAGCAATCGATTTTGCATAATTGATCACTTTGGTCAATAAATGTACATGAAGGAACTATCGATCCTGGCAGAATACGTGATGGGATTTACTCCAAATCAATCTCTTCTCTGTGTCGAACAATTTATTTTATTTTAAATAATAGTCTGAGATGATTGAATCATTGATCAATATTTTTTTTTCTCTCATTACAAGTATTTGTTGAAAGATATGCTTTATAATTAGGAACTTTCCGAGTTCCTAATTAGTTTTTGCTTGCAAAGCGAGAATAGCATATTTTCCACATCTTATATAAAAAAAATATTTTTGCTAGCACGATTGTTTGATTGACATGAATACAGCGTCATCTTACAAAGCTCACTGAACAATCCGTTTGCAAGGTGAATAGTCTCAGTTCTCTTAGTAAATCAGCTCCACTGTTCTATGTGAGCTGACACTTTATTGTCTCCTCACTCAGACCTGCACAGCTCTATGTTCTAAGGAAGTATAGCCACAAAAACAACAATGGGAAATGTTTCCACATGTGCAGGACAGCTTGGGGCAGTTGGATTAAAAGATTACTGCTGATTAGTTACAGGTTTATGTATTGTACTTTAAACACTGTCTTCAGCTGTATGAAATAAGCCTAGAATGATAATGAAAGCTGAACGTTCTGATAAAACACACTGCAATATCACATTATATTTGACTTTGCATTGTTACTCCACCAGCTGCATACAAAACAGATTCAGAGCAAGGGCACTTTGGTCCTTTTGCAGAACTGCAAACTTTGTAATGCCCACAAGTGTCAACATAGAGCCCAATGAAGCAAAAGCTGCAACCCATAGCATCCTACCATCATCCATGGATCTTAAAGTGACATTAAACCCTCAGATTTTTTTAACATAAAACAATAGTGTAATGTGTGTCTTACTGTAATCCATGGTTGTTTCCCTTCTCTTTGCTGCTCTTCCTTTTAAATCCTCATATCTTCTCATCCTGGGGGAGAACTTCCCTTTGCAGCTGAGTGCCTCTTCCTGTAGTGCTGGCTCAAGTTGTGAACCTGCACACAGACCCCATGTATCCATTCCAGAGACAAGGCAGTCTGCTGCAAAACAGAAGTTCTGCCCAGCATGAGAAGAGATACGGATTTAAAAGGAAGAGCAGCAAAGAGAAGGGAAACAACCATGGATTACAGTAAGACACACATTACACTATTGTTTTATTTAAAAAAATCTGAGGGTTTAATGTCACTTTAAGTCTGTTAACAGAAGATTCCACCTTAGAATTCCACTCAAATCTGTGGGGCTTCATTTATAAAACTTTGCTTGGCGAATACCATTCGCTCTGCACTGGCACCCTCTAGATGGCAGTGACGACTATATTCATCAGCATCGTCTAGGGGTGCAAGTGCTGTGCGATGGGCATTTGTCCGGCTTTATGCCAGGTGGATTTTTTTAATAAATTAAGCCCATAGTGTAAAAAGAAACAATGATATCAAGCAAGTAATGGTGAATAAATTGCTTCTCATAGTAAAAAGCTTTTGGGCAGTCATAGAGAGTGCAACAATGGGGCACTGACGAGGTACGTTTTAAGGCTGCAGCAGACAAGAATATTGCTGATTGGATTATATTAGCATTGATCTTCCAGTGTGTGGTCTATAAACATCCAAAGTGTGACATCTTGCACTGGCCTGTGGCTTTTACCCATTCAATCCTGTGGGCTAAAGAGGAAATACAAAAACTCAAAACACTGTTTAGCATGGCTAGGGGGAATAGTCCTAGATTGTGAGGACCACAAGGGCCCGCTCAAAAACCAGAGCATTTAAAAGAAGAGAGCGCTTGAAGCCTTCTGGGTAAGGAATAAGGTATTACAGCTTATTCAGGGCAGTGGTGTCCCAACACTTCACTGATTGCCAGGAGCTCAGTGGGACGCCAGCCAGAGCATCTTGCTCAGCTCCTGGCAACAGATGATGTCAGTGAGCTGGCCAGGATGCTGGACAGTGTTACAGGTTGCTAAGAGTGCTTAGCAATCTAGGACGCTCTGCCCAGATAGGGGTGGCCCTCATGTGACCCAATGAGGGGCCTCATTGTAGGGACGGCCCTGATTCAGGGATAGGCAACCTTGGCATGCCAGCTGTGGCCAAACTACAAATCCAGTAATGCCTCTGTTTCTGGGAGCCCTGCCTGTGACTGCAATGCCTCATGGGACCTGTAGTTTCAAAACATCTGGAGTGCTGACCTACCCCTGCTTCTATACTTAGCCCTCATTCACACGAGAAAAGGCCGGCACGTACAGCTCCGTGCTGCGTGCACGGCTGTATCGGGCAGCTCCCGGGAAGGACAGCTGCTGCGTGTGGTTAGTACGCAGCCCCTGTCCTTCTCAATGGGAGTATGCGGGCTTACCCGTCCTGCACGTCCGTGTGGGTGTCCGTACTCGTACGCTGACAGGAAGATCCTGTCTGCGTCTGAGCCGGGGCGCCTGCATTGGGCCTATTCTTACTTCATTTGATCCAGTCTAAAGGAATCACGCTTAAAGTGACCAGCCGGCTTTTTTTAAACGATATTATTTTAAGCGCTTTTTTATAAATGTTGTATGCTGTGTGATCGAAATAAACCTGGGATTTATTACGCTATGAGCGTATGCTTTATCTTTCTTGCTTGATTGGACATTGTACATATATCTATATTCTTTACACATCACTGATCGGTTGATATTTTATAATGGATTAATATCCTTTACACACGTTTTTCACACTGTATTTAAATTGATGGTATTGATTTTTTGAGATACATCCTTTATTGAATTTTCGAGATATAGTTTATATACTCTTCAATTGTATGCTTCAAACCTTGATCTTAACGTTTTGATTTCTCATATATTCACAAATGAAGGACGGTTAGCGCCAGTGGCGTAACAACCTTTTATCCATTTAATATCCTTACTCTCCATTAGCGCAAGTTCTTGCAATTATATAGAAAGTTTACCAGGCCAGAATGAAACAAGAAAAGTCCATGGGTAGGGTTTTCATTCACTTTATTGCTGCTGCCTTACAGTTCTGTTTGTCTCTGATGTGTACAGTATGGCTGTCAGTCTGATACATAATAAGCCCTCACCACAGGACAGCTCCGCTAGTGAGTTACTCATGACACGTCACGTGATGCCACTGCCGGGAGCTCCAGGAAGTAGTCATGTGACCGCTGTGTGTCTAACATGTCGGCGCCCGGTGGAGGGAGAGCGGAGTCTGCCGGGCTGGTGAGATCCCTCCGGTGTGTCCGTGCAGTTAGCAGGAGCCGTGTCCCCCACAGTGCCCGGTGTAAGGACAGACTGAGGATCGCCCTGATATTGCACTGTTTGCTGTATGTGAACGCCAGGTAAACGGACAGGAAGCTGACGTATCCGAGCTTCTCTTTTCTTCTTCCTCATTACTGACTAGAATAGCACATGTTTCTATACTCGGCTGGATCATACCCTGACAACTCCACTTTTATACAATACCATATATTTCTAGATCTATATATAATGCCATGGTCTTGTTACAAATAGGGAAGAGTGATTTCTCACAGCGAGTCTCTGAGGTTTTGCTGAAGTGGAAACTCTTTGAGGGGAATTTATCAAATCTGGAGCAGTTGCCCAGGGCAACCAATCGGTTACTCTTATTTCCAAACCCTAACTGAACAAACCAAAGATTGGTTGCCATGGGCATCTGCTCCAGAGGGGAGTTCACCAAAAACTGGAGCAGCTGTACAGGGCAACAAATCCAGGTTGTTTTTTCCCCCATTTTCTAAGCTTAAAGGAGAACTATGGGGTCAGTGTTTTTCCCCATAGTTCTCCTTTTTCCTTTAACTGAGCAAACTGAAGAGAGAAGCTGATTGGTTACTAAGGGCAACTGCTCCAGATTCTGTCTGCTCCAGTTTCAGTAAATTCCCTCCTTAGTTTTCATTCATTAAACTTCTTAGGTGAAGTGTGTATGTTATCTTTATCTAGGTGTTTGTAATGTGAGTTAAGTTTATTTTATTTAGTGTTCATTGTATGTGTTTGACTGTTGATAGTTCATTGTCCTTTTTAAAATCTCTCTATTTGGCTTTATTTTTCTTTCTGTGTAACAGATCAGTGAGGGGACATTTTTTGGAAGAGGTCCAGGATAGTTTGAAGGAGCTTGTTGTACCTCTCAGGAGCTATTTCAACTTTAAAAACATATTCCACCTTTTCCAAAAAATGAATAAATGCACCCACATTGATGTTTAACCTTTTTCATAACTTTAAAAACAAATGTTTTTGCATATATCTACTGCATGCTAGCAAAAACCGCTGAGGGTCTAAATATCCTTTTAGTTTCGGAGCTGGAAGTACTCAATGGACTACGAGTGTTATGACATCACCGCACTTGTGCGCCATTGAGATCTGTGAGTCACTGCCGCAGTGGCAGGCGGGACTTGTAGATTTTTCTTTTCCTGTGAATGAATGATGCAGCAGTGTGGGAGGAGCCACAATTCAGGTAAGTGGGGGAATGTGACCATGCTTTATCTTAAGTAGTTCTTAATGAACCGGCCGAAATTCACACAGTGGGTGCCCCTCGATCAGCTGATCAATGGAGCAGATTAGAAAATCTTTGGCCAAACAGAGCTTGCAGCCAGCGGCTATTCATTGTGCATGGAGGAATCTGTTATATTCCTTTCCTAAAATTAAATTATATTTATATATACAGGGATCAAAATGTCATGCCCTAAGCTACTAGCCAGGCCTTAAAAGTTACTCACCACAAGTTGCCCCACCTAATCCCTACCCTGCCCCGGCCGTAACTCCGCCAGCTCAGCAGTGTGACGCAAAGTACATAGATCAGTAATGTAACGCAAAGTACATAGATCAGTAATGTAACGCACAGTGCAGATGTCTGTAATGTAACGCACAGTGCAGAGGTCTGTAATGTAACGCACAGAGGTCAGTGGTGTAAAGCAGAAAGAACAGGGATTACAGTGCACATAGCTGATCTGATTTAGGTGCCCTCTTCCTCTCCTGTCCTCTTCCTTTCCTGATTTAGATGCCCTTTTCCTGGTGGTGGTGCTGGTTGGGGGGAATAAAGAGATGAATCCTCCATGTTCACAGCTGCAGCCTCCCTTCCGGTCCCGCGCTGCAAAAACTTCGAGCCGGCCAATAGCAGCTGCAGTCTTCCTTCCAGCCTATGGCAGATGAGGTGGGCGGAGGAAGCTGCAGGTGGCCAGGGTGAAGGGAAGACAGCCGAACTGATTCTTCTCCTCCTCGGCGCTCTGTAGCTGCAGCGGCCTCGGAGGAGAAGAATCAGTTTGGCTGTCTTCTCTTCAACCTGTCCAGAGAAGAGAGAGCAATCGCCGCAGAAGCAGCGGTAGTTTAACCCCCCCGCTGATGAATTTTCACTCGCCCCCTCGCAATTTTCACTCGCCAATTGCGAGGGGGCGAGTGGAAATTTTGAGCCCTGATAGATATATATATATATATATATATATCTATCTAATTAGGGATGCACTGATATATCGGCCGCCGAAACATATCGGCCGAAAATGGCACTTTTGGCTAAATGGCTCTAATATTTCCGCAAAGCCCCTAAAAGTAAAGTAAAAAATACAAATATTAAATTTACAAAAATTAAAAAGTTTATAAAAAAATAAATTAAAATAAAATATTTAAAAAAAGTGGGGAAAAATTAAAATAAAAAACATTTTCGGTTTCGGCCTGACATTTTTTTAAATTTCGGTTTTTAAATTTCCATTTCGGTGCACCATCTATATGTTTACCCAGCTTTACACCCTAACCTAACTTTTTAAACCTTCATTTAAAAGCCACCTTCAAGAGGACCTTCACTCAAACACATGGCACCATTCTAAAGTTCATCAGAAGCCCGCCACTCAGGGGGGCGGGCTTGCGATGATCGCAAGTACGATCTGCCTGTCCAAGATGGGCAGATCGTACGTTTTTTTAAATTACCTTACAACCATCGCAAGACAAAGGTCTTGAGATGGTTGTAAGGTGTATGGGCACCTTAATCCAACCCACTCCCTGTTACACATCTGCATGTAATTGTTTTTTTTTGGGGGGGAAGCAAGTATATTTTTTTTCTGATGCTTGCTCCCACTTCCTTATTTCTCACCTAGACCAGGATGATATAACCCTTGGCATCCTGCAGCCACCTGGGAGATCACTTCACACACCCAAGGAGGCTTCATTGCAGTGAATGATCTTGCACATGCACAGCATGGGGCTGACTGTGAGCGATTAGGAAGGGACAGCCCCAGCACAGAAAAAAAAAAGGCTGCAAATACTTCGGCAGTGTGAAAGGCAGCACTGGACTTCTTGGGCTGGTAAG